TGTTCATATGAGCAATCTCATGCAGGGTCCTGCCATGAAAGGTGGGTGGGTGCCCTTTCATTTCCTCCGAAGGACACCTGTGATTCAACGGGCATCATTCTTCATTTCAGTTCATTATTCTCAGGGGGGGAATATCATTCAAATCTGAATAAAGTTTTGGATCTCCATTCCTGGTCTTCAAATTTTTCTTCTCCACAGTCATCACGTAATGTTTCTCTGGGGGTAATTTCAGACAGGATCTCCCTGCGTTCTCAACTCTAAACTTCTGAGTAAACGTAGATGCCGACAGCATGCAACATGTTATTTCTTGGGGACCAACTTTTGGGCTCGTACTCCTCCCTGGCAGCTTCTTTCCAGGTGGGGTGCTATGCATTGCTAATCTGCCAACTATCATCTGATACCGTGTCCTCCACGGAATCGAGGTGGATCTGATTTTAAAACCGTTTGCTTAACCTTCGGCTTCTATACGGATGTTTTCAGTCTCGCCTGAATTCTTGTCTTGGTCCTGTCTGGAAACCCTTCCTGTTCTTAAAGGAGCAGGGCACTTCTGGTTTCAGAAATCTAGGAATGTGAAGGGTGGGTGACCCGGGGGTCTGTACGCACATTTTTATAGGGACTGACTGGGAAACAGAAGGTCCCTGGATTTCTCAGCGTTCCAGGGGAAGGCCCAGCCTCCTGCAGCGACTGTGATCATTAGATCTGCAGCCGTTTGTCTAGTTAATTGCTCTCCTCCGAAAGGGTGATCACGTTCCTCTGGTGGTGGGGAAGGGCCAAATGGTGCAGCTGGGCCCCGGCCTCCAGGTGTCAGCAGCCCCCAGCACTGTCTCCATAGGTAATGACATCAAAGGGGGTGCAGTCCCAGGACTGGGAGACCCCAGAACTGTCTAGCTTCAGGGGAAATTGTTTACACACCAAAGGGTGGGAGGGAGGTGCCAGGCCCCAGGTTTCCGGGGAGAGCACTTCGGGAAGGGAGTGGCCCGCGACCTCCTTCCCCTTAGGAGCAGACAAGCTAATTTTCCTCGCCCCTCACCTGTGCAGTATTTGGCTGTTCGCATGGATCCTTGGCTTTTCGGGTGTGCGGGTGGGGCGATGTATTATTTACATTGAGGTAACTCATAAGACAGTGATGGCGAACGTTTTGAGCTCGGCGTGTCAGCATTTTGAAAAACCTCTAACTTAACTCTGGTGCTGTGTCACATACAGAAATTTTTTGATATTTGCAACCATAGTAAAACAAAGACTTATATTTTTGATATTTATTTTATATATGTAAATGCCATTTAACAAAGAAAAATCAACCAAAAAAATGAGTTCGCATGTCACCTCTGACACATGTGTCATAGGTTCGCCATCACTGTCATAAGAAATCCGTAGAACACCTCCTCTGTGCATTCAGAATAAAGTTAATAAGGATGAATATTAAAACCCAAACACCGGCCAACAGAAGGGGGCGGGTCCTGTCCCTCCTCCTCCGCCGCCAATCACGACCCGCTCTGGAGAAGGAGGGAGCGAGGCATCCAATCCGAAGCCTTTCCCGGCGGGGAAGGGCGGGAATGCCTCAGGGCCCAGGCCCGCCAGGAGGCCGCCACCCCAGCCCACGAGAGGCGCCAGAGCAAAGACAAGGCGCCCAGTTTAATGTGAATTTTGGATCGACAACAAATAATTTTTAGCATAAATAGACCCCCACATAGTGAGCAGGCCATGCTTATGCGGAACAAGGAAAACCTTCCACCTACTGTTGATCTGAAGCGGAGGCACCTGCATTTTCATTGGCTCCACCTGGCATTAGACCGTGGGGACCTGGGAAGGCCCCGGCTGAGGACACGGCGTGCCTACCGAAAGGATAAGGGAAAAGGGCGCTCAGCCCCCTCTCTTCTCATCTGAAGGTGCCGGAGGAACCCAGCACACAGCGACACCCACAGCGTGTAGGAGTCATGGGCGGAATGTGTGCCCACCGCTCTCCCTTTCCTCCCTCCCTCTGCCCTCCTGCCGGGAGGTTTTCAGCGGCGGGTAACAGAGATGGTGCCTGAGAACGGCTTCAGCAATAAAGGCATTCCACTGTCCACGGAGATGAGTGGGTTGGGGAATTGGGGTGGCAACTCACGGGTGGGTATCTGCGTCCCCCATCCTCTGGCTGCTTGGTGACGAGGCGGCTGCTGCGGCTCCAAGCACAGCCTCCCAGCAGGACTTCGAGCAGGAAGAGAG